CCTGACCAGTCAAGGATCGATCACTTAAACCCCTGAATGCCTTTTGAGTTAAACTTGAAGACGTCATTATTAATAGATTTATGTGGAAGGAAATATCAATTTTAGATGTCCAGTAATTGTTCCTTGACCTATACTCAAACAATGACTTATAAAACTAAGTGAGGCATGCCTTGAGCTGTTCCCTAGAGATGTGAAGCTGAGGGCGGCTGGAGGAAAAGGTGGGTTGGTTTTCTCTCTTCCTTTCGCAGAGAAGGGCCGCTCAATGATATAAGCCCAGCCCTGCTGCACTAGTTCCAGATGGGACCCTCCATGCCTGAGGAGTTCAGACAAAGGAACTGCCAGTTGCAAATTTGGTAACATAGAAGCGAAAAATGAGCCCGGAGGGATGTTCTTAGATCCAAAGACTGGAAAACCCTTAATTAAACGTACTCCCCACCCACAAGGTACACAGTGCCCCCCAAAGGCCAGAGTTTGTCTCTGTTCCCTCACTTTTGAATGCTGGCCCTGGCCCAAGCTCTGGTGCCAAACCTCCACTCCAGTTTACTATCCCAAAATTGGCTTCCCCATGTGGCTGGGTGAGGGAGTCAATGAGATGATTAGATTGTTTGATGAGTCAACTCCACCAGACACAGACACACTATTGGGGAGTTTCAAGGAAACCATGAACTTGGCCTACAGGGTTTTCTCAGTGACCATCACATGCTGAGTAAGAGGGGGACGGGCAAGGGGGTAGTTGTCACCAACTCTGAGGTCTCCAGAAGCGCCTGCAGGTAAGAAGTGCAATGCTGGCAGTCAGTTCCAGTCTGGCCCCGCGGAGCTGTAATTGTGGGCTTTAATTAAGGAGGAGGAGCTGGATTCTTGACTGAAGAGTGAAAAGTAATTAAAATACATATTTTTAAGGGGCCAAGGTGGGTGGTGATTCCCTCGCACATTTTCACTCGAGGAGGAGAAGACAGAGCCTGTGTGCACCTCTCTTCCTGTTTGGTTAACTCAAGAGGCCGCCCCACGGTTTCCCAGGGAGCTGGGAGGAAACCACAGCCCAGCCAAAAGGGGCGCGAGCGAAAGCCCAGCCAGGTTAACACCACCAACCGCGGAGCACGCTCCCGCCTCCTCTTCCTCCTCGCCCTGGGCTGCGCCCACCGGCCCGCGGCACCGGGAAAGGGTCGCGCGAGAAATGTCGGCCTGGAATTGTGAAGTATCCCAGCCCACGTTTCCTCTGAGAGGACCCAAGGTGTCCTCCTAGGACCCTGGATGGGGAAGAAGGAAGCCCAGAGAGGGCGCCCCGCGACAGCATGCGCCCCCAGCAGCCTCCCAGGCCCCGCCCCCTCGGGCTCTCAGGGATCCCAGGCCAGGCCCGAACCCTCAGAGTGCTGGCCAAGCTGGGTGGCTTTGTCCTGGCTGACGTTTGTCCTTAGAACCCACCAGCCAAGAGGGAAACAAAGAACTTCAAACCCTATGTCCCCCCACCCCTCCGCCTCGCACAGGAGCCCCCACGCGCCTATTCATCACCTTCCTAAAGACCCCTTTGTCTGCCTTGGAAGCACAGGTCTGTCAGCGCGGTCGGTCCACACCCGGCCCAAATGCCTTCTGTTCTGACAATTGAACTAGGCAGAATTTTCAAACCACCCACCTCTGGGGCTCAACCTCAAACATTTTGAGATACGTGACACACACACACACACACACACACACACACACACACACACACACACACATCCAGAATAGACTGTTGAGATTTGTAGATGTGCAAGGACCACCCGGTCCAGTCCTCTAAGCGTATTCATTCTTTTTCAGTCCCTTTCGACTCTAGTTCTACTATTTTTGTTTTCCATAAAATAGCAATTTATTTCGTAAGGATAGCCCTGTCTCCTGCTCACTTCAACGCTCATCTCTTAGGGAGAAACAGGGGTATTGAGAATCGGAGCTCCTGAAGTTTAAAGCCTGTGCTTCCATGTATTCCAGCAGTTTCTCCTCTCTCTCTCTCTCTCTCTCTCTCTCTCTCTCTCTCTCTCTCTCTCTCTCTC